AAAATTTCGAACTTGAGAAATTGTGCCTAAGAAAGCTTGCATCAGATTTGCACTGATGACTGAAAAAAATTATAGCGACCAACCCAAGAAGACTAAAACTTTTGCAATTTTTTCCTTAGAAGCACAGATATCCGCTCTATATCACGTAAAAGTTTCGATGTCTAATCAGCATCAAGAATGTTTTAACAAATTTTCGAATCTGAGCAGTTTTGACCAGGATGGCTTGCAACAGATCAGCACTATTGTCTGAAAAAAATGATTGCGCCCAAACCAAATAGACCAGAAACTTCCCAATTTTTGGTTTAGAAGCACACATATCTGCTCTATAACTCATAAAATTTTCGGTTTCTGAGCATTATCAGAGATTTTTTTAGAAATTTTTCAATTTTAGCGTGTTTTTCTTATTTACTTATAGTTTTCATTCGCATAAATCAACTAGCTGCTCCAGAATCATTCAATTTTCTTTAGGTTTAACACTGGACGCACTTTTCCACTGCGTCCCAGCCGACAAGCGCGAACTGTGCCAGTTCTTAGCCAATGGAATCAAGTCGGGCATCATACGCCCTTTAAATAGGACGATTTTCCAGATGGATCAAGCAGAAGAAGCCTTCCGCTATATGGCTTCGGGCAAGCATACTGGCAAGGTTCTGATCCAGATCAGAAAGGAGGAGTCAGAGCTGATGGCGGTCCCGTCTGCTGTTCCATTCCTGGCGCATCCCCGGTAGAATTTTCCCATATTTAGCACGGTGAGTGCGACTATCAGAAACGTTTTCCAGATACTTCTGCGACAGCGATCGCTCCTATATAATCTGCGGAGGCTTGGGAGGATTCGGCCTGGAGTTGGCCGATTGGTTGTGCTTGCGAGGCTGCCGGCGCCTCATCCTCACTTCGAGGACCGGCCTCAAAACCGGCTACCAGGCCTACAGAATATCGTGGGTTTGCGTGGATTTTCCATGAATTGCGAGTGAAATTGCGATTTTCAGCATGTGGAAGTCCTACGGATGTGCAGTGGAAGTGTCCACGGAAGACATAACCACTCCTGCGGGCTGTTTGGGCCTGATAAAGGCCGCGCAACGTCTCGGCCCTGTACACGCCATCTTCAACCTGGCTGTTGTGCTAAGCGACTGCATCCTGGCCAATCAAACCGAAGAGTCCTTCCGGGTCTCGTTCGCTCCCAAAGCCTGCGCCACAAAGTACTTGGACGAAGTCTCCAGGAAACTCTGCCCAGAGCTAAAGTAATACTGCAGCAACCAGCCGAATGGTTCAGGAACCCTAATTTTCCAGAGATTTCGTGATTTTCTCCTCGGTGTCCTGCGGACGTGGGAACGCCGGACAGTCCAACTACGGCATGAGCAATTCCGTGATGGAGCGCATATGTGAAAGGAGGCGGAGCGACGGCTTGCCCGCCCTGGCCATTGAATGGGGGGCGATAGCCGACGTAAGCAGCCGCCCGGCCGGATGTTTCGCCCGATTTATGCGTCTCAAACTTCCCTAGGTGGGGCTGGTGGCCGAGATGCAAAACGACTCCATTGAAATGGAAATCGGCGGCACTTTGCAACAGCGCATCTCCAACTGTTTGCAAGTGATGGACGTGTTTTTGCGGCAAAAAGAGGCTGCCATTGTGTCCAGCATGGTGGTGGCTGAGAAGAAGGGCGGCTGGGGAGGTGCCGACAACATTGTCGACGCTGTTGCCAATATTTTAGGTAGGGTTTCACTGATCTTTCCCCCATTTTCGACACTTTCTAGGGGTGTCCCCGTGGAGGCGGGACACCTTGTGCAACAAAGCTGATGAAGATAGGGGGTTGTTTTATTCCAATCGCGTTGTTTTAGGTATAAAGGACCTGAAATCCATCCCGCATCAAGCCACTCTGGCCGAAGCCGGCATGGACTCGATGACAGCGGTGGAGATCAAGCAAACCTTGGAGCGGGAGTTCGAAGTGTTTCTAACCGCGGCCGACATCAAAGGAATGACCTTTGCCAAGCTGGCCGAGATCCAAGCGGAGCGCGATGCGGATTCCTCCACAGGCAAATAGCTTTGATCCACATCCCCCCTTCTCCTACACCTTTCAATTGCTTCACAGCTGTGAAAAAAGAGCGCGCCTTGATGGGCATGGAGATGTTCATGTGGTATGTGGGGGAAGCCCCATCAACAGCCGATCCCCTGGTGAGGGTCCAAGCTGGCCCTGCCGCCCCCCAAGGGGGCGCCACAGTCGTCCTCTTTCCAGGCATTGAGGGGATAGTGCAAACCCTACAGCCCCTGTACCAAAATCTGCAGGCTGAGATCTTGGGGCTCCAATATCCCTACGATGAGCGGGCCGACAGCATTCCGGCCCTGGCTGCCATGTACCTGCCGGTAGGCCTTAACAGACTAACGCCCAATGGAGGTTTAAGCTGCAGGGTTTCAGTTGATAGAGGAGCGCATCTCCAAGGCCCAGCCCTTCACCTTTCTGTGCTACTCCTATGGGGGGCTGATCGCCCTGGAGCTGGTGGCGTTGCTGGAGCAGAAGGGCTACCTGGGCACTCTAGTTATGATAGACTCCAGCCCCGATTACCTCAAAGGCGTCGCCAAGACGGTGGAGCTGGAGGTGGACGACAAGTTCCAAGTCACCCTGTTGGTGCACTTGATGTCCATGAAGGTCTCCTATGACCTCATCGCTAAACACTTGGTAACTGCACCTTTTGCCCCTGGTTCAGCTCCGAAATGTTCCTCTTTTCAACCTCAGGAAGCGCTGCTGAAGCTCAACACATTCGAGGAACGCATCGGCATGTGCCAGCAGATCGTCGGCAAGACGAACGAAAAGTCCCAGAAGTACCATCGGGAGTTCGCCCTCAGCATCTACACCAGGGCGAAAGCGATTGTCAAGTGGGAGCCCGATTTTCAACTCAAATCGCAGGTTGCCCTCGTCAAGCCCACACTGGCCAACGTCGAGATGGCCGATGAGGACTACGGGTTGTCGCAGCATTGCGAAAAACCGGTCCAAGTGAGGGTTTTTGAGGGAAATCATGCCTCCATTCTGGAAAACGCGAACGTAGTTGACATGGTGCGTGAGTGCTTCGGGCTCAGTCCAATGGAAGAGGGCCCAGGAAAGGGCGATTTGCTCATTACAGTGGAGAAGGTGCCCACAAACGCGGCCAATAAGGTGTGAATCTGAACCAGAATATAAAAATCGGCGATTTTCTAGGAACGCAGTCGTTTTATTTTCTCTGTATGTCAAGGTTCCTTCTGTCCAAGACGGCTGCCAAATTGCAGCCGAACTCCTAGACTATGGGTATAGATTCTGCCAACCCCTCCTTTAACTGTCGCTAGATCCGCCCTTGGCCGCCCATTCTTCAACTGCTAGTGGCAACAGTGTAGTCGCAACTGCCACCCAGTAAACGTCACTGTGACATGGGCTCCAAGCATTTTTCGATATTTTGCCCGCTTTGCCCTCGGTAGGCCCGCGGAAGCATCGCAAAGTAAAGCTTAGCGGTCAATCTTTGCAAAACGCGTAAATTCCGGCGTGTCAAGTGCTTTTTTCGCGTTGAATCTTCATCCAAATGTACAGATCACCCGTTTCCCAGACACGCCGCTAGGGGCGCCGGTGTGATCACGTCAAATTCTTGCCAGTAAACGACATAGTTGCCGATGCTTGCAGTTTGTTCCCGAGCGCAAGCAAATTGCGTTTATCTAACGTGCCCGATTGGGCCGTTTTCAACATCAGCCGAAGAGATTTAATGTGGGATATCAACCAGGCTTAATAACTATGGTTGAATGGCAAATCAAGCACAACTATATTTTTTGTGGAAAGTTGTGGGGTAGCGGCAACGCTGTAGTGGAACACTGACGGCCGGTGAATGTACGCGTTAAATTTTGGCAAAGTTTTTTCCAATTTTGCCGAAAATAGTGTCTGGAAACGGTGGAAAAGTGTTTCAAAGTGAAGCTGAACCCGCAAGGTTTGCAAAAAGTGCAGTTTCCAGTCGTACTAGTGCGTTTCCAGTTCGAGATCGCTATTTCAAGTTGGCAGAGGTTAAGGGGTCAACGAACCCTCGGCTAGTTGATGGCGCCTCGGAGCGGCGCTTGTTGAAAAACACAGATTAGGTAATTTTATTGTTATATTAGTTTTATTGTTATTATAGTTTTGTGCCCAATTATCCCCAATAAACCCCCGTTTCGTTGTAGCCGATTTGGGTTCAGTTAACCTTGGAGCATTAAAAGCTTCTTCTAGAATCTAGATGGGAAACTTTTAGCCAGTAATAAATCGTCATATTAATCAGATTGACAAATTTATTGCAATATTGCATATTCCCCACTATTCCTCGACAAAGCCATTGGCAGCCCTACAGGAGCTCATGATCGACTCGGCTAGTTCATCGTTGTTCAAAATGGTCCTATGATCGCCCTCCAGCACCTGAAAAATCCTCAAATAATGTCCCTATTCTCTCCTTATGTCTGTTCAACTCACCAAGACTTCAACCGGTTGTTCAAAGTACTGGCCCAACTCATAGTCCTCAGCTTCGAACGAGATTGATACCATAGTTGGCTTGAACAGTCGCGCTTTGGATTTCAATTTTCCAATCGTTGGATGGTAGCTCATGCAGGCTTTCATTAAGTTCAGCACCATATTGGTGCTATTCAGCACCAACGATTTTGTAATTTTCTCGTCGTATTGAAACTTGGATAGATAGAGCTCGAGCCGCTTGCTGCTCGACGATATTTTCGATAGCTCTTGCTAGATAAGGCAAACGATTTAAAATAATCAAAAACTGTGGCCCTTGCGCTTACCGCAAACTCAACGACTTGGGCTTCGTTCACGTGCAAGCTTAGCGCGCTACAAAGCACAACACTTTCCCAATCTGCACCAGACATTTTAGCGGAGAGCTCTTTGATGAAAGCGGGTGACCCATCGATGAAGCTAATCGTTCCCACTAGTCCCAAATGCTCCAAATCGCTGGCAACTTGCAAAGCTGCGCAACAGCCCATCGAATGGGCCACAAGGTGGAATGGTTCGTTCGGTTCCAGAAGGTCCCTGACGAACTAAACATTCAGCAAGTTTCATTAGTGAGTCGGGATGATTTTCTGTTGTACTCACGGGAATAATTCGAGCAGCGGTTTCTGGAATGTTGTCCGCTTGTAGGCCGCTGGTGTAGCTTAACCCAATGGCATCCACCTCCAGTTTTTGGGTTAGGGCTTTTAAGAGCTCGCACTGTCCTTCGATGCCTTGAACAAAGCCCATGTAGTGTATGAATTTCGAGGGAAAAATGGGTGTTGCTCACCTGGAAAAGCTATCAGTTTGCTCAATCGTTGGCAGCCGTTGGCTGCCCCTAAGCTCGGGAGCTTCGCGATGGAAGAGTCGCGCAAGTCGCTTTCTGTTAGCAGGTACATCAAGAAGTCTTTCAAGTCAAATTCTTTCGACTGCTCCAACTCTGCACCATTTCCACTTTGGTGCAGTTCCAAGATTCTGCAATAGTGGGTTTGAATGGGAAGTTTTCACTCAATTTGGGCAATTTGTCACCGCGCTAGTGTGACGCCTCTGAGCTGGGCGGGCGAGAACACAATCCCATACTCCCTTTCCAGCGTTTGCTTCATCTCGACCCCGTTCATTGAATCCATGCCCAATTCGGCTAGAGTGGACTGCAGACTGACCGACTTCAGGTCGGTGATTCCTGTGCGTTGCCAGAAGCTGGTAGAAGAAAAATCGGGTAGCCACAACTCTTCTTTGCCTACCTATAATGCCGGCAACGACATCCAGAATACTGCTGGAGCCAGTGGAAGCTTTCTTCTCAGCGACCACAATGCTGGACACAACCGCCGCTTCGGTTTGCCTCAGCAGCCGGTCCAACACCTGAAAGCAACTGGCGATGCTTTGCTGAAGAGTGCCCCCTATTTCCAGCTGCACTTGCTCCTCGAACATTTCGGCCACCAGGCCCACCTAAACCCCAGCTGTGAGCTTCCATTTGCCCAATTCTCATAACTTACGTCGCCGATGGCTCCCCATTCTATCGCCACCGCTGGATATCCATCGTGGCGTCGCCTCTCGCATACTCTCTCCATTACCGAATTGGACATGCCATAGTTGGTTTGACCGCCGTTTCCCCTGCCGCACGACACGGAAGAAAACACCACGAAATCACTAGATAGATCAGTGTTGGCCTTAAATTCTGCCCTGTGGGACTCCTACGGGAAACCCACCTCAGTTCTGGACACAGTCTCCTGGTGGCTTTGTCCAGAAACCTGGTGGCGTCCGCTTTGGGCCCGAACGACACCTCAAAGCTCTGCTCAGTCTGATTGGGGAGTGTGGCGTCCTGCAACACCACCGCCAGGTTGAAGACGGCCTTAACAGGCGCCAAGGCATTGGCTTCTCCTAACAGAGCCTCGCATCCTGAGGGAACCGTGATGTCTTGCGTGGATATTTTCACATTGCACCCATAGCTTTGCCACAGCCTGGAACGGTTGCCCGCTTAGCCCCTGGCCGCCGGTAAATTGCCAATAGTTACGTGGTTCTTTGCTGCTGATAGCCAGTTGTGATGCCCTTTCGGGATGTCAGCACCAGGTTCTGCGCTCCTCTGAGTACCAACCAGTCGGCCAATTCCAGTCCAAAGCCCCCAAGGCCTCCACATATCACGTAGGACTTTGATGGGTCGCAACAGTACCTAAGCCGAGTTATCAAGCTTTGTTGGATTATTTCATTTTCTCATCCATAGCAACGCCATAGGGCAAAAAAGGTATTAATAAACGGTAATTCGATAATTTTTAAAAAAACTTACATAAGGAGGAGGGCTTTTTCGTTCCAATGTGAAAATAAAAAAAATTACAGCGGTAATTGCACAGTGTGCAATTATCACTCAACGATAATTGCATTGTTTACAAAAAATATTTGACAGGTGTCTTTTCATGTTGAATTAGACATCAAATGTCTTCCTGACATACCTAAGATTTTCAAATTATATTTAATAAACATAAGTAATAAAATTAAAAGTGCAATAAAATATAATAGAAATAAAATGAATCCACATTAACTTTGTTTACTCAGGAAATATTCATCAAAATTACACTCGTGCATAAAAATAATAGATAATTTTGCATTCGAGCTTGTTGTCTTTTAAAAACTGCATTCGTTTATTTCCACATTGGAACGAAAAAGCCACAATATAAAAATAAACTCATGCAGTTTTTAGACAACAAGCTTTCATGCAAACTTATCGGCAATTTTGAGCACTTGTGCAATTATCCCCGATAATTTCACGTCGTCATGGAATCATAATAAATATCACTGTTGACTGATTTATTTAATGTGATTGATGTGAACTATATTCTCAAAAATTAATAAAAATGAATCGTTTTGGAGATATTCCCGACGAATATATTGATAAATTGGTGGTTAGCGGCGAACCGACAAACACCGCAAAAAGTAAGAAGTACATTTGGAAACAGTTTATATCTTTTTGTGCGGAAAAACATTATAACATGGATCGAGATACTCCAATCTCGGAACTTGCATCTATTTTAAAAAGCTGGGCTTACAACAT